CAGGCAGGCCACTGAGCTCAGCCACACTGTACTGTCTCAGTGATGCAGAAGTCACTTGGTGGATCCTCACAACCAAGGGCCTGACTTGATACAGCTGTGCTGCTCGAGTTAGCTAACAGGCTGCTCTTGAAAATGCTTCCCAGAGGATAGTGCTGGTTCTTACCTTACCCTTTCAGTGACAGAAGACTGTCTGCTCACGTCCCTCTGGTGGCTTGCCTTGCATGGGCGGGGGGGGCAGCCAGTAGGGCTGGGAGAGGGGCTGACAGCCCACCCTGCCTGGCAGCCACCCTTATGGCAGGGTTGGCTTTACTGATATTGTGCGCTGGGGCTTGGGAAAAAAACAAGCTGGGCAAAATACACAGCTATGGGGTCCAGGCTTTCTCTGCTGCCATGCATTTTTTCATCTTTCAAGCCTCTGCTGCTCTGACCTACTTGCATGTCATGCTCTTACCATTTGCTTAGGGCAGCTCAATTGCAAAGTAAATGGAGAACAGGGCTGTATAACTTCAGTTTTCTTGGGTATTGTTTCCCTTTAAGCAACTGGGGGGAGAAGGGAAAGTCCTGCACATCTTATGATTAAAACCAGCTCCCAGGAGGCTAGATGAGGTTAATTCAAATCCCAGACCCTGCTCTTCCAAACTACATGCAGCTGACCTTGTGCCAGTACTAAGTTAAAGAACAGGTCTGAACTGTGTTGCTACTTGCCTACTGTTTAAAAGTGCTGTGAGTGGTGGATGCTTTTTGTATAAAGTTCACCCTTTTGTTTTGTTTGTAGGTAACAGTTATTGTCTTGGGAAACAAAACTGACCTCCCGGAGCAAAGGCAAGTGGAAACAGAAGCAGCACAGCAATGGGCAAGGGCTGAGAAAGTGAGACTGTGGGAAGTGACTGTGACAGATCGGAAAACACTGCTTGAGCCCTTCACCTTCTTAGCTAGCAAGCTCTCCCAGTCCCAGAACAAATCAACATTTCCCTTGCCTGGAAGGAAGAGCAAAGGGAATAACTGTGATAACTAAGCTACCTTAACGTTGTCGGCTGCTGCCAGGTCACAGACTAAGTGCTTTTTCTGCCATTTGCTTCTCACTGTTTCACTTAAAGCAATAATCTCATTCAGCAATAAAATCAGCAAGCTTGTGGCTAAGAGGTATCCTTCCTTCTCATGGACTTGGCTTGAAAAGTCACTAGTAGTAAAAGCTTTAAAAAGCACTTAATGAGAAGAGTTATCTTGCAACAAGGGTTACAGACGAGAAAGGGACAGGTGGATGCCTCTCTAGCAGGGGCTTTGACTATGCCTGGATACAGCCATGTTAAGGGACAAATCATCAAGGTTATCATTAAGCAATTCCCCACAGCTCTATAGCCTCCAGTCACCAATAGTACTAGCTTCAATAAAGCATTGAAATTGGAGAGAGGATATGTTTGAAATGGCAACACTCCTTTTACCTTGACCTGAAACAGAGAGACCCCTGGCCAATGGGCTTTTTGATGCTGCAGGAGACTGAGGTCAGTGTGTTGTTGTAGAAGAGTTTGGGGCAGGAGGAACAACTACCATCAGATTTAGTAACTGAAGTTCTGCTAGTGTCTGGAAGAAAAAAAAACCACCCAAATCTTGTGGGAGATACTAGAACAGATCTACCCCCAACATGAAGTTTGTCAGCAAAGTCTGGCAAGTAGTGTTTTCAGCTCGGGAATTTATTTGTACAAACAAGAAGACTCTCAGAGCACTCATTAAGTTAACTGCGACCTGAAGGACAACATAGCTGTACGTGGTTTTGCTCCAGCACATCCAGTACAAATCAGTCATATTCACGTAGGTGATAATTTTACTGAAAAATTTTACAGAGCAATTTTGTACACATGAGGCACTGCCCAGGCTCTGCTTAGCGCACTGCATAGCACTCCTGACCAGCTGTTCAGCCAAGCTGCAGGGATCCACCCTTGGTACGAAGCTACAAGCCAGACAGGAACCAGTACAAAGTGCTGTACTGCTTTGTGAGAGCAAGCTTGGGAGTGTAAAGAGGCTGCCTTTCGGGAACATCCCCATGGCAAACACCCAGAAATACCTGTACAAATGGCCTTGGTCTTAATATACTGCACATCATCCAGGAGCAGGAGCACAACTGTACGTGCTGTGTTTGACTCCCCATGCTGGTAACGCTGTGCTGCAGGAATCTGCTGTCATAGGTCAGCCTGTCAAGTAAACCAAACAATATTGGATATTTGGGACAGAATGAGCAACCATTCCCACAGAGAATGGCCAGCTTTTGGCCTCTAACAACCTCTTCCACTAATTGATATTAGCTTTTCTTTGTATTTGAAGACAAGAGTGGGGAGAGGGAGTGAACTGAAGTACACAGTTCCCTCATTTTCCACTGAATTAATGTTGTTTTGAACAAATATTGAGAATTTCACTCTGAGTCAGCAAAACCACAAGCAATATTTGCACTGTCATATCATAGCTGCTAAATAGTAAGTGTGCTTAATGATCACAATTAAGCTGGGTGCTTATAGCACTGCTCTTCCTGAATACTGACAAATGAAGTCTGTCAGCATTACTAATGTCAGAGCAGCAGTACAATTCACTAAAAATTAAGCAATTATTCCTGCCTTTATAATGAAGGTGGATGAAACCGTTTATGTGCTTTGCTCAATGTAGTTTGGATAGCTGTGGCCAAGGAGTAAGATAAGAGCAATTATAAATGAGCAAACCCTTGTAATGCCCTGCTAGAAACACACAATTGTTTCCATTGCAACACTGCAGCTGAGTAAGCACTACAGCGTGACCTCCCCCAACCTCGCTAGTAATAGTCATTGTCCCCAGCGATGCTGCAGAACAACACTCCCTCCTCACTCATTTCCTACCAAACACACATGTACTCAAGGCTTCTCCCTACCGAGAAAACTCCGCATCTGCCTGCGTGCTTGGGAAGTAGGGGTGACTTCAGAGCAACAGCGGTTCACCTCCTTGCTGCCACCTCTCACCAAGGAATTGATTATGTTCCTCCTCTTCAGCTCTGCAGAACCCTTCTTCTAGAAGGGACTTGATTCAGCTTTGAATCAATGAAAATAAGCAAAGACTTCATCACTGAAGCCGGCCCTTGAGTCAATGGAGTGCAGGCTGACAAGTCAGAATTAACTTAAAACATGTGGAGATGGAAGGAATGGAGATGACTGGTTCCTGTCCAGTTCTGCACCCCGCAGACTCTATGCCACTTCCACTGCCAAGACTGATGTCACCTGTAGGCTGCCAGAGCATGTCATGTGAGATCAGCTTGCTCACTTGTTTGCCTGGATGCTCAGGACTTGACAGTGTTTTAAGAAAGGTAAGAGGAAAAGGGATCTTCTGAATGACTCAGGCCATTTTTCCAAACAGATTACATAAAGGCAGACACATTATCTTTGATTTGGTTAAATTCATTAGAAACAAGTTTAGATAATTTTGGGCATTCACATAAAGAACCACCATGCACTATTTTCTTTCATGAGCTTATTCTCATACTTTTTAAGCACTCGCATCAATTGTCTTTTCTAAATACCATAGTATTTTATTGACAAGTGATGGAAAATGTAGTGTCTCCTCTGTGAACAATCTACACAGAGTGGCTGGTACTGAAATGAAACTCACTGTAGTACAGTTTTACATAGGGTTAATCAGTACAGAGTGTAATGTAGTAGCTGAAGGGTGGGACACATATTTTGTTCTTTACTCTTCCATTGACATCAAGCCTTCCCTAAGTCAGTGAGGTCACTTACCTACTACAGAGCTAGACAGTCCCTTCACAAGATGCTAGAGGATTATAAAAAAAAAATATATAAATCAGTAAATTGAACCATCTTTCTCTGTTCCTCTTTTGCTGAATGCACACTGTGCAGATCAGTTACACCAAACTAGCTCCTTCTACCCTGCCACCTAGAAGAGTTAATTTGGTACATCTTGGTAGCACGAAAGCAAGGAGCTGACAAAAACTTACTGAAATGAAGCTATTTACCTCTCAGTCAGTAGAGGGGAGGAGGAAGTGATTACCCAGAGATGCTCCTGGTGTGATGTGGCTATATACCAGTAATTCTCCTAGGCTGCACCAAACAGATGAGGGAGCTCATGCACCAAAACATACGTTGTGTCAAAGAAGGCAGCTCAGCAGGTGAGGCTGATGTACTACTACCCACAGCCGCTCACCAAAGGAAGGGTACCTCTAGTGAACAGATTGCTTGGACCAAGTCAGATTTGAACTATATATAGACAGGAAGAAAAGTATATAAGTAAAATATATACAGAATTTAAAGTACCAAAACAAATCTGAGAGCCCAGATGACCACATAGTACTCAGAAAAAATGTCGCAACATGAAGTACTTGCCATGTGAAAATGAATCTGTATTTCCGGCCTTTACCTTAAGGGAGTGGTCAAAAATGTCATATCAACAACTAACTGCCCTGTTGCTACATACCTCGATGTACACACCATGTCTCTAGGAGATAATCTTTGTAGGTAGTTAAGAGATCTACAGATTAAGTCTCCTTTACTCTCTTTAAGGTGTCTTCTGCTAGCTTACCAGGACACAATTCCTTCTCCTCTTCCAAGTGGGAACAGACAACTCCATCAGAAAACCATGACGATATTCTCCTCTTCCTTTTACCTTCTGCCTGTTTCCCTTCCAGATCTCTTACACTTTTCCAGTTGTACTTCTCAAATAATGTGCCACTGCTGTGAAAACTTAATCTAAAAAGTAACTGGCATGGACTCTGCGGCAGGTTGCCTCCTCATGGGCCATGCTAGCCTGTGTAACACTTACACAGTAAACGGTTGAAAAAGTCTTACGCTGTCATTCATGTATGTTTGTCTGGAGGTGTCTTCCCAAAATAGCAGCAACCAGTGCATTCACCTGCAGATCTCCCTTGTCCTTATCCATCCTGTAATCTTCAAGGTGTACTGAGAGAGACTGTTCTGGCAAAACGACAAAGCAAGGCACTAAGCAGAAATCTCTTCTTCCTCTTTTTTTTAAACATCTTTTTATTAGCACAGTAACAAATGCAGACTTAAGTAGCCCACAACATACAACCAATCCACTGAGTGACTCCTATTCCACGCCTTACAGTTAAACAGCTTAAGGTATTTCACTACAGGTTGTCATAAGTCCTGATTAAACCCTTTATTCTTTTCACAAAGATAGATTGGCTTATAAAATAATACATTAACTACTTCTCATTTCATATATGAGGCCATATATCCCCCTCTCCATATCACAGATCATGAGATGACAGTCTTTAAAAAGGATTTGTTAAATACCGATGTGCCCTCCATAGGGGAAAACAATCCCAACATCCTTTTACCCAAAAAAAAAAAAAAAAAAAGAAACCCAACCCAGAACAAAATAAACCCCTCCCCAAACAAAACAAAAAACCAAAACCAAACCAAAACGCAAAAACAGTGTGTAGAGTTTTGAAAGGACTTTTACATAAATGTCAACATATGTACCTGTACAAAATTAAGCTGTTTTAATCTTTTACATATTGCAAGCAAACTGAAAACCAAAAGTCTAAGAAGTTTACATTCTTCTCGGTACTATATGTGAGCTAACATTGCTGAGCTAATTACAGTCTTAAAATATGCTATTCCCAATCCTAGCTGTCTACTGTAGCAAGATACCTTAAGTTACAACAACAAAATCTTAGGAAATAAAAGACTGAATAAAATCTGTTATAGAAATACCCTACTCTTTACCAGCACCCTCCCTCCCCCCAACCCCTTCAAAATCATAAGCAGCTCTTTCCATCACAGACAAATAATGTAAGAGTTTGACAAAAATCCAATTTATGTAGCATATCTTTTTGTCCATTGTCTGGCCATTCTGTCATGCTCTGCTCTGTTAGTCATATACTGAGTGGCAATACTTCCAACCAGGGGGTCAGCTGAAAAAAAATAGAAAACAAACCACTTATTTCAGACAAGTTACTGAATAAAAACTTAAAGCTGAAGTGTGAATTTAATAGAAGGGAATCACACAGGTACAGTACGTTGCAACAATCTAAATACACTGAATTGATGGTGTGTATCTATCGATTTGTGTGTATTTATGATGACATAGTAATCTACTACTTAATAAAGAGCAAAGTGGCAATTAAAGTTCTAAGGAGTTTAAAAGAGAACAACCTAATAGTCATATTTTGCATTACTGAGGACTTTCACTGATTCATGTGTTTCAGGTTTATTTTACCCCTTCTAAAAGTGCCTGGGACATACTAATTCCTAAGTGTACTTCTATCACTATAAATCTGCCTTCTACGAAAGATCAGATCGCAAGGAGAGGTGTTTTTTTCCCCAACAGATTTATTTTTATTATACACAGTGTGCAATCTGGTGCTTCGCTCATCTTTAGACACACATAGAAATACAACCTGTAAAACCAAGACATATTCCTCTTAACTGGTGTGGATAACAGGTGGGTTAGAGAAGCAGCAAGGACTACTGGTGGTGTAGTTGCTCTCTGATTTTAAATGGGTGTTGGAAAGTAAAAGGCTAATCCCCTTGTTTTCACAACTGCATTTGTGGCTCTTCTAGCTCCCTTACGGAATTACTACAGTCCTACAGACCAGCAAAGAGTGTTTAACCCTTCCCCAAAACCAGAGTTAATTTGTCAGTGGAAGGAGTTTTCATGTGCAGGAGGAAGACCACCACTCTCCTGGCAGGCCAGCCTGAGGAGCAGTGAACAGCAGGCAGGGAGGGTGTATCACCTCCACCACCTCCGGCCCCTCTCTGGCTGCGCTGGAGGCCAGAGCCAGCCGGGTGAGATGAGGGCCAAGTCACCCGGGTGCCGGGTGGGGCGCGAGGCGGCGGGCGGCCTGTGTGGCTGTGCAGGGGACTTACCGGGGTTGCAGTCTGTGAGGAGGGAGCAGATGGAGAGGAGAACTTTAGAAATGGTTAATGCTGGGCTCCAGTTGTCTTTTAAAATGTCCAGGCAGATGACGCCTTGGCTGTTAATATTACAGTGGTAGATCCTTGTCCGAAACGTTACCTGCAAGAGACAGCGATTAGCCGGTGTGCTGGGTACTG